GAACTACACTTTTTGGTTTCTTTGCATGTCACATAAATGCCTTTGAAAACTAGACATTTTAGATGATATATTGCAGCAATTCTGGATTCCAATATTTTTTCCTGAGGGTTGTGTTTTGTTGTTGTTGTTGTTGTTGTTGTTTGGTTTAGTAACTTTCCTAGGCTTCAACTGCAGGGTTTTTTTTTCCCCCTGTAAGTGTGGCCACTGATGTCTCTGCTACTGGGTTTTTAATTCTTATTTTTATTTTTTAGACTGCCTTCCTCAGGGTTATCCAGCTATGCCTGTAAAGCTTGCAGCTTGGCCAATGATTGGACAGAAATGATTGTGCTTAAATACCTCAAGCCGATAATGCCTTTTCCTTTTGCCAATGGATGTGTACATGAATTGGAAACACACTACAAATTCAAGTAGAATTCATGTTGGTCTTGGCTCTTACTTCCCATCGGGCCTTCTTGTGTCTCCCCTGAACATCCCCTTTCCATCAGCCAGTGATGCCTGGAGAACTTATCTACCCCTTCTCTGACTGTCTTATTTCCAGATTCTCCCCATTAAATTATTGATAGCTTGCTGCTTGCCTCAACTGGGATTGCAACCTCTGACCAGCAGAGCTGCAGTTTTTCCTTTACATTTAGTACCTGTTTTGCTGTTTTTATTGACGGTACTGCTAAGCAATAGTTTTAGCTGTCTGTTGGAAATCAGGCTGGTCCCTCTGGCCACACAGTTATTGGCTCTTATGGCCAGACTGCGCTGGTAAAACTTCTGTTGATGGAGTGGCTGGGGACACTGGGGGAGAGGAGGAGGGGATATGAAAGTACTTCCAGGCAAGAAGGCTTCAGATCCCCTCTGTTTCTTACTTGAAGTTTAGCAGATTGTCATGAACTAAACACTTCTCAGATTTTATATTTGCCCTAGGTTGATTTCCAGGACCCAAACATGGTTTGTTTTTTAACAATTTTGTTCATTTTTATACTTATTTTCTGGGGAGAGGATTTGTTGACCTCTTTATTCTGTCACAGCTGGAAGTCCACTGCTATTGCTATTAATTTATAAAATTCTTCTAAAAGATTACATAAGTATATCTTATAATTCCTATTTTAAGCTGATCAGAATATCATAGGCTTGATTCTTTTAAACCAAAAGCATTTTGTAAAAACAATATAATTTTTATCTTAAAATCCAATTTATTAATACATTTAAACTTATAATTTTTAAAGACATTCATTTTAATATATTCTATTTAATTTTAATATAAGGTCTCAGTATAGTAAAGGATAAAGAATTTTTTAAAGATGGCCAAACCTGCATTAAAGAAATGCTCAAGCTATTCTAAAAGCTCTTCAGAGGCATGAAAGTTTCAATTATTTTAAAAAATGTTTTACATGAACATCACCATGCATTCTATTTTATTAGAATGTAACCTTAAATGCTAATTTGACGGTTTTATGTTCTTTGATGAAAAATGAATATTATAATGTTAGAGATCACTGAAGAGTTTTTGAAGTACCTGAGCTTTTATTTTAATTTAAATTCATTTTAATTGTTTTTCATTAATTTGATTTTAAACCTGAATACAAATATCATGATAGTTCTAGTTGCCATATAGACATAGACATTTTACTAATTTAGACCTTTCTTCCTTTCACCTATAATCAGTTGTCAAATATTCCTAAACACTTAGGTACTGGTCAGTGATGCTTTTAATATGCTACTTAATTTATAGGAGCTTCCTATTTTTAGATTGAAATTGGGCTTTAACATAGGGTACCATAAGACTACTTTCTGAATGTCCAGCTGTTATCCTTTTCTGTTTAGATATAAATGGATTAAATACTAATAGCCAACTAAGTGTCTGCTAGGCATCAGGTCCTGTTCTATGTACTTCTATGGTATTATCTAATACCATATCTAAGGGTCACAGTCAAGTCTCTGAGGCAGATGCTATCATTAGCCACAGTTACCAGGTGAGGAGACAAAGACATAAAATGGTTAAGTGACTTTCCCAATAGCTCACAGCTACCAAGTGGTAGAGCAGGACTTGACCCCAAACAGTATTAACTCCAGAGCTCATGCATGTGCTTACACACTTGCTATGTGGAATGAGAAAAAGACTTATAGAAGTAAAGTCCAAGTCTTTACAAAGCAGCATCGAATGAGCAGAGCTGCAGTGTGCCATGGTCCTAAGACTTCTCCAAGAAAATAGTCCCCTGAACTGTAAGTGCCTATCCACCTCTTAGATAAGAGATGCCAAAGGGAGAGCAGGTCTTGGAGACAATAGAGGCTGTGTGATTGAACTGATCCTCTCTATTATAAGTGTTTCTATCCAGTGGAAATTTGGAAATCTAAGTTTCATTTTATTAAAGAAGATAACATGTCTTTACGTCAATAAGACTGGATTGTAGCTCTTTATTCCTTCCATAGGTAACTATGTAAGTCATCCCAAAAGAATTTAGACTACATTTATCTTTTTAAATCCCAGCTTTCTAAACAGTCATTATTTTAGTCCAGAATAATTCTGTTTTTGTTTTTGGGTTTTTTTTTTTTTTTTTTTTGCATTTTTTCTACATATTTCCTGTGCTCATTTCCCCTTAGGGTCATCTGCCTCAACATTCTGTTCCTAAACCTCTGCATGGGTGTTTTCTTTCCTTGTCATTCTGATCTCTGATTAAGTAGCACCTTGTCTTAGTCTATTTAGGCTGTCAGAACAAAAATACCATAGACTGGGTGACTCAACAACCAACATTTATTTCTCCCAGTTCTGAAGGCTACGGAATCCAGGATGAGGGCACTGGAAGATCCAGTGTCTGGTGAGGACCCATTTTCTATTTCATAGATGCCATCTTCTCACTGTATCCCCACATGATAGGAAAAAGGTGAGAGAGCTTTCTGGGTCTTTTTAATAAGGGCACTAATCCCATTCATGAGGGGTTCACGCTCATGACCTAATCACCTGCAAATGGCCCCACCTTTTAATACTATCACTTTGGTGGTTAGGATTTCAACATATGAATTTTAGAGGGACACACACATTCCGTCCATTGTGTTACCTCTTCTGTGAGGCCTTCCCGTTCCAACTCTAATGTCGTCACAATCCCTCCAGAATCATGTTACCCTGTTGTTTTTCCTTCATAGGACGAGTAATTATCTGGATTATCTTACTTATTTGTTCTGTGTGTTTATTGGCTGTCTCCTGCACTGGAATCTAAGTTCCAGTGCATCAGGAACTTTGTTTATCTAAGAGATACAGTGGTCTCTATAACTATACCTAGAAGTATTCTGGCAGACACATAAAAAGATAATTGATTAATATGTGTTGAATTACTAAATGTTAGTTTAAGGCAGATAAGGGAAACTAGACTCAACTTGGACAGGAGGACTTGACGTAGGCACAACACATCAGGGCTTTGAGCCCAGGGCCTGGTTAGGGATGGCAATGAAGGTTGGGAAGAGAACTGTAGAGAGGAAGCTGATGCCTTGCTGGAAAATCAGGCTGCTGGTCAGAGTTACCTGGAGGTGGTACTCAGGTAGAAAAAAATGCTAGGTGATACTAAAAAGGCCAGACACGTGCAATAACCTATAACTAGTGGATAACTCATCCCTCACCACTGCCAACCCAAATCTCCATACCCAGTGTCACCAATACAAATGGAACTGTCCCTTCCAGTTTTTGTGAATGGATGTGTGCATATGCATGCAGACATAAATGTTCATAGCTGAGGGGTGGAGGCAGTAGGGGCAACCACATAATTCTTCCCATCAACAGCCCTGAGTTCAACTTCTCCTTGGGTTGGCTAAGAGAAGAAGCCAAGAGAAGAAGCTAGGCATCCCCTAGTCTAAATCCAGCCTATAAACCTGTTTTATTTGTCCCACTCCATGTTTAAAAATAAATTGTGCCAACACATAAAAGCAGTAGGTTTAACATCAACTTTGGATTTTCTAGGTTAGTTTCACACATGGGAAGTCCTGGCACGCTGAACCTGCATTCCCACATGACACAGTGGCCAGAGCAGAGTAGCCAGCATGGCCTCGGTTGGGTGCACTCTGCAGTTCCTCATGGGCCCTGTCATCTGCTGGTGTATTTAGCTGGCATTATCTCCTTAGGTCACCTGCTTGTTCTTCATAGGTATTTGAGCTTGCAGTGTCTAGCATAATGGTTAATCCACAATGTAAACAATCAATAATGTATCATCAATAATACTGTTTGTGTTGGTAGAACTCGTGCAGATTACCCACTAAATGGAAACCTTCTAGGGCTCTCCGTTGCTTGCCAAATAATGTCTGTGTCCCTGACTTGGGTACAGTCTGAGCTATATTTTATAGCCAATTACTACTGTATAAAAGGAACAGAGTTAGATTTTAGGCTTTTAACTTATAGAAACAGCCCTGTAGGCTTGGGAGAAACAGAAGGAGAGAAATTAGGAAAAAGAAAAACAAAAACTCAGAGATAGAGATGAGAGAGAGAGAGAGAACAGCTTAAGTAGTGCAAACCATCGCCTTTCATCCGCTGTTCCACTCATGGAACATGTGCCCACTGGCACGGGATACAGGTAGGCTTGAAACAACATGTTGACAAATTTGTGTAAATATGCAAATGATTTTGATTCTCTTACCACTGACAAAGAGGTGAATAAAATGAACTGTTTAGGTTGTCAAACTGCTGAGCTTTGTGAACATTCTTGAGGGAAAACTGAAGAATGATAGGCCAAAGAGAAACACTAGCCAACAGAGAGAGGGAACTGATAAAATGCAACTATAGTTTGTATTGCGTAAACAAAGCTGGGTGCCCTGTTATACTCAACCATAATGCTTCATCAATGAATAGCCCCTTCTCACCAACTTTTTCTGATGTTTGGATTATAAATTATAATTGAAAATACAAAATAAGCCTGTATATTAATTCAATAACTTGGAATTTAAGACAAACCTTTTCTTTTAAAGGAGTAAACCAGATAACCTTTTCAAAGTAACTCACACTGATCTTGGACCAACTCTGATTCTTACAGGAACATCCAATACTTGGGCAACCCTTTTTTGTACTTCATCCCTGCAAGACAAATGAATTCATGACTCCTGTATTAAAGAATTCTCGGAAAATCAATAAGTAAGAAATACCCTCAAGATACATTGGCTTCTACTCTGATTTTAAAAGTGTAAATTTTTTTATGTGACTCTAAAAACTAGACTAAAAAAAGAAATATTCTTTGTAATAATAATAATGGCTAACACATTGATTTTTACGATATGCTAGGTTCTGTTCTAAAAGTTTTAGATATAGTAAAGGACTGGATTTTTGCAGCATTCCTATGTGCTAAGTACCATTTTTTAACCCAATTTACAGAGGAGAAAGCGATGGAACAGAGGAGGTAAGTAACTCAAACAAGGTCGCGCTGCTAGCTAACTGGTAGGATTTCAGTCTAAGCATTTTGGCCTCAGAATCATGCTCTTAATCACTGCACTGTCCTACCTTAGTAAGTGCTGTAAACTGTTAAGGGTAAAATTTGAATCAAGGGGAATCAGGAGCCCCAGTACCTTACCTCATCCTTCAACCACCCTAATGAGGGATCCTTGTAGGCTCTCTAGACCTTAAATTCTTGTCAAGCAATGGGGCTGGCATTCAGAAATGCTGAGATTCCAGGTGGTAGTATACATCTTTGAAGAATGCCTCATTTCTGTTAGTGACTGACTGATATTCTGCCATTCATCCAAAAACTACAGTATTGGTGACCGCTGATATTCTACCATTCATCCAAAAACTGCAATGGAAACATTAGCATGGCCTGTATTTCATTTGTTTCCTAGGAATGTCAACTATATCACATCATGGTTGAGCATTGTAGGGCCAGTTGTTGGGCTGAATCTACCTCTGAGTTATGCCAAAGCAACCTCTCAGGATGAACGAAATGTCGATTAACAAGGTAAAAGAAAAGCCTGGATTTAACGTTTTGTTGTTACAAAGATCAGTGTCTCTATTGCATTTAGACTCATCCCACTAAATATTAAATTTGCTTTCGTTGTTAGTGTGCACACACTGACTTATTTTTTAGTTTTCCAATTAGTCTCCTACCAAGTTACTTAGGACACGGATCCCCAATCCCCCAGCCAGCCAGGGTCCACAGTCAGGCCTCACAGCAGGAGGTGACCAGTGTCTGGTGAGCAGGCAAGCGAGCATTACCACCTGAGTTCTGCCTCCTCTCACATCAGCTGCAGCATTGGGTCCCTCATAGGAGTGTGAACTCTATTGTGAACTGTGCATGCGAGGGATCTAAGTTGCACGCTTCTTAGGAGACTCTAACCAATGCTTGATGATCTGAGGGGAACAGTTTCATCCCGAAACCATCTCCCACTCGGTCTGTGGGAAAATGGTTTGCCCTGAAACCGGTCCCTGGTGCCAAAAAGGTTGGGGCCCACCAATCCAGAAATATTTTACTTTGCTATAAGTAGCATGCATTCAATGACAAGAGTGGATGATTTCCTTTTAGTACTGATATTCTTAAATAAGTCTGTACTGCTCAGTCAATCTTCTTTTATTCTGTTGGCTTTTGTTTTATATTCTTCAGATACTTCTATTGAGCTTAGAAATTGTGGCACAAAGAACACCAAGAGTTTACCTGGCCAGTCCTGGCTTTAATAGGACCAATATCATGGAATATTTCATCTCACCAAGATGCGATATGGCTTATTTTTCCTTTGGATGCAAATGTCTGCAGCAACTGATATTTGATAGACTGAGTGTTTAGAAGAAACACTTCAAAGATGTAAATCATGGACAGGCGTGGTAGCTCACACCTGTAATCCAAGCACTTTGAGAGGCCAAAGTGGGAGCATCACTTGAGCCCAGGAGTTCGAGACCAACCTGGGCAAAAGATTTTGTTCAAACCCTGTCTGTACAAAAATACAAAAATTTCCGTATTATGGTGATGTGTGCCTATAGTCCCAACTACTCAGGAGGCTGAGGTGGGAGGTTGGCTTGAGCCCAGGAGGCAGAGTTTGCAGTGAGCTGAGATTGTGCCACTGCACTCCAGCCTGGGTGACAGAGCCAGACCCTGTCTCAGAAAAAAAAAAAAAAAAAAAACCACAAATTACTATAAATAGCAAAAAATGAGTTTAACTTACTGATACTAGGAGTGCCAACATTTCACTTGCAGGTTATTCTTTTCTAGGCCAAGTAGTTCACTTCCATTTGTCTGATACGGAGACTGAGGGAGAAATGTATTTGTGTGTTCATTTTAATGTAAGATATACAAAAATTAAATTACTGGATTTACATGTTCCTGAAACTGGTTTTATAAACATGACCTATCTTAAATGATTCTCCCACAATCAAACTCAGGAACAATAGATTATTTCTGTTTTACTCTGAGAGAGAGAGAGAGAGAGAGAGAGAGAGAGAGACAGAGAGACAGAGTGTGTGTGTGTGTTTGTGTGTGTGTGTGTATGTATGTGTGGGTGTTTGTGTAGACATACAGATAGATTTAGAAGAAAGAAAAAAACGCAGTGTTTTACTGTGCGATAAGTTGTTTTACCAGCAAAGTGTGGCATAGTAACTGGAAGTTTTCTAAAAAGCTATAGGAAATATTTAAACATTAAAATTTCTTTTTGACCTATAGTAATAAAACAATGGTAATTCTATCCCTCTACTTGTCAACCCCATAGCTGCTCTGCTGTACTCTTTGAGGGCTCTTGAGCAAATCTTCATGTCCCTGAGACTTATTTTCCTCATCTTTAATTTGAAAATAACAAGCTACCTCATAGGGTTGCTGTGAGAACCACATGAGATCATTAATGCATGATAAGATATTGCAAAGTATTATACAAATATTCATTAAATCCTTACCTTTCTTGTATATAATTGGTGTTCACTCAGGCTGTAAATAAGTTTTATAGCCAGTTAGGTATTAAGATAAACCCAACCTGGAAAAATGTTTTGTTTTGGTGGCTTGTTTTGGTTTTTTTTTGTTTTCATTTGCTAGGAGCTGAAACTAAGATTAAAATGTCATTGGCATTTTAGAGAATCTAGATTAGTGTCTTTGAATGAGGGATATACTTAAAATCACCTGAGGATCATTTACAGCTACAGATGCTGGGGTCACCTGACAGTTTCTCTGAGGTGATTCTGCTCTGGAGAACCTCTGGTCTGGATATACCTTTATTGCAGCATTGTATTGTTTTGCTCTGACAGGCCTCTTCCAATCCATTCAAGCTGGACTTGCTTCCTAATGTTTGTCTAGGCCTTACATGGATAGTAAGGAAGCTTAGGAGACACGTCCATGAGGCAGTCCACTTGTAGGAAACCAGTTCAGGTGAGGACATCATTTGCCAGTGGGCCACCAAGCACCGTGACAGCACCCACAGTCCATATCTGCAGATTAAGAGCTGAACTCTCACAGAGAAAGTGGAAGTAGAGAAAGGGTTAATTCAAACTGCTAGAAAAGCTAAAAGCAAATTTTAAAATGCTGAGCTGCACATATTCATGCTAGGATGAGAGCCGGCTTAAATGCTTGCTGGGCATTTTGGTATTTACCACTTAACATGTTTTCAACTTCTGTGAGGGATTTTACCCCACTCTCCCTAATGTAAACACAGATTTCTCAACAAGTCATTCCTCAAGCCATGTCATTTCTAGTGTAAAAAAAATTATAATAATGTGTCTCTGAATAGTGTTCTTGTCTGCAAATATTAGTTATCCTTTGCTAACAGATTCTTAGATGAGAGTCTATCAGTTTGGAGCCAATGTTTAGTTTTTTTAAAAAAGTTAAAAATGAAACCTCTTCTCTGATTAACAAAGACCTAAAAATACATTAGTGGCAGAAAGAAGTTCTGAGGAGCTCCTGTAGAATTGGGAGGCCATTCTCCCCAGATAGATCTATCACCTCAGGCAGCTTGATTTCTTTCTAGAATTGTTTTCACTTAAAAACTTCTAATTTTTGGTTGATAACAATTTCCACTTTTTTTTTTTTTTTTTTTTTTTTTTTGAGACGGAGCTTCACTCTTGTTACCCAGGCTGGAGTGCAATGGCGCAATCTCGGCTCACCACAACCTCCGCCTCCTGGGTTCAGGCAATTCTCCTGCCTCAGCCTCCTGAGTAGCTGGGATTACAGGCACGCGCCACCATGCCCAGCTAATTTTTTGTATTTTTAGTAGAGACAGGGTTTCACCATGTTGACCAGGATGGTCTCGATCTCTTGACCTCATGATCCACCCACCTCGGCCTCCCAAAGTGCTGGGATTACGGGCGTGAGCCACCGCGCCGGCTAACAATTTCCATTTTTTAAAATGCAGTTATGCTAACAGAAGGTTATCCTGACAGTTATTAAACATTAGAAGATAACTTGGTTTTGTGGAAGTAGCCGTACTTTTTTGGCAGTCTGAGGAATTTTTTTCCCTGCTTCCTCATATAATACACATCTTCAATAAGAAATAAGGCTGAGTAAAGCCGCTTCCAGCTAACCTCCTAAATTCTGCTTCTGTGTGACCTTGGAAAAATTGCTTCACCTCTGTGGTCCTCAGTTTCTTTATTTGTAAAATGGGGAAATTCAGCTATGTGTCTTTTGTGACAACCATGAATTTTTAGGTCTGTAAAATAGAAGTCCAGAGATCTAAACTGTGAGGTTGGTTAGCTGCTAGCTGTGTAACTTGGGCCAATTTTCTTATCTCCTTTTTAAACTATTTCTGTAAAATAAAGCCAATGATATCTATGCCACTTACCTGACAAGGGCATAGAGAAGATCAAAATGATACATAAAACTGAATGTGCTTTATACCCAAGGCAGTGAGGCATGGAGTGAGAGGTGACAGTGGATAATGACCTGCTCCTTCAGGGACACTGGCATGTCTGCTCCTCCCCACCTCATTGCATGCCTGAGCCCTCCCAGGGCCAAGCACTCTCTGATCTGGGGAGTCTTCTCCTTCACACCCTTAGCTGACTGTTGCTTATGCTGGTGCCCACCTGGAAGTGCTTCCTTTCCCATAAGTCTACCTGATTCCCACCCTGGTATTGGTGATTCACTCTCACAAAGCCATCTATGACCACCACAGCCTTCAATCAATGCTCCCTTCATTACTCACCATCCTTAGTCACTATGAGCTTTTAGCTGCCTCTCTTCCACTCTGATTGCTCCCCAACTTAATGATAAGTATTAAGTCATTTCAGGTGCTGGCCACTGTTCTTGATTTGCTCTGTTTCAGCATACACAGAAGAATGTCTGTGTGCACCACCAAAGTAGAAAGCCTCTTGGGTTTGGAGTTGGAGAGGTGGGAAAACTGTTTGAGTGACCATTGGAGGGAGCAGAGGCTGTGTTGCTCAGCAGATACTAGCCTACAAGCTAGGTTAAAAAAACAAAATTTTTGCAGATGACATGATAGTATATTTAGAAAATCCCATCATCTCAGCCCAAAATCTCCTTAAGATGATAAGCAGCTTCAGCAAAGTCTCAGGATACAAAATCAGTGTGCAAAAATCACAAGCATTCCTATACACCAATAACAGACAGAGAGCCAAATCGTGAGCAAACTCCCATTCACAATTGCTACAAAAGAATATAATACCTAGGAATACAACTAACAAAGGATGTGAAGGACCTCTTCAAGGAGAACTACAAACCACTGCTCAAGGAAATAAGAGAGGAAACAAACAGATTGGAAAACATTCCATGCTCATGGTTAGGAAGAATCAATATCATGAAAATGGCCATACTGCCCAAAGTAATTTATGGATTCAGTGCTATCCCCATCAAGCTACCATTGACCTTCTTCACAGAAATGTAAAAAACCACCTTAAACTTCACATGGAACCAAAAAAGAGCCTGTATAGCCAAGAAAATCCTAAGCAAAAAGAACAAAGCTGGAGGCATCATGCTACCTGATTTCAAACTATACTATAAGGCCACAGTAATCAAAACAGCATGGTACTAGTACCAAAACAGAGATATAGACCAATGGAACAGAACAGAGCCTCAGAAGTAACACCATACACCTAAAACCAGCTGATATTTGACAAACCTGACAAAAACAAACAATGGGGAAAGGATTCCCTGTTTAATAAATAGTGTTGGGAAAATTGGCTGGCCATTTACAGAAAGCTGAAACTGGACCCATTCCTTATGCCTTATACAAAAATTAACTCTACATGGATTAAAGATTTAAATGGAAGACCTAACACCATAAAAACCCTAGAAGAAAACATAGGCAATACCATTCAGGACACAGACACAGGCAAGGACTTCATGACTAAAACACCAAAAACATTGGCAACAAAAGCCAAAATAGACAAATGGGATCTAATTAAACTCCAGAGCTTCTGCACAGCAAAAGAAACAATCATTAGAGTAAACGAGCAAGCAACAGAATAGGAAAAAAATTTTGCAAGCTACCCATCTGGCAAAGAGCTAATATCCAGAATCTACAAAGAACTAAAACAAATTTACAAGAAAGAAACAACCCCATCAAAAAGTGGGTGAAGGATATGAACAAGCACCTTTTAAAAGAAGACATTTATATGGCCAACAAACATATGAAAAAATGCTCATCATCACTGGTCATTAGAGAAATGCAAATCAAAACCGCATTGAGATACCATCTCATGCCAGTTAGAATGGCGATCATTAAAAAATCTGGAGACAACAGATGCTGGAGAGGATGTGGAGAAATGGGAACGCTTTTACACTGTTGGTGGGAGTGTAAATTAGTTAAACCGTTGTGGAAGACAGTGTGGCGATTCCTCAAGGATCTAGAAATAGAAATACCATTTGACCCAGCAATCCCATTACTGGGTGTATACCCAAAGGATTATAAATCGTTCTATTATAAAGACACATGCAAAGGTATGTTCATGGCAGCACTGTTTACAATAGCAAAGACTTGGAACCAACCCAAATGCCCATTAAGGATAGACTGGATAAAGAAAATGT